GCGATCAATATTTTTGTTTTTCATCTTTACTCAACAGCAACTTCATCTGAAATCGATGAATATCAATTTGAATTATTAGCGCACCCACCAATTATTCAAAGGCGCATGTGAATGGCAATTATTTTATAATCAGCAGAAAAAAAAATATCTTCACACGTACTACATGAAAAATATAAGAATATCATAAAACAATTCACAAACTATAAGAACTGTTTTTATGAAATTAACAAAAATATTTTGAAGAAGTTACATGTTACTAATGATAATGTGACCATAGCCATTATAATAATTCATTTAATCGATTTTTAATAATTGAGTCCCATTTTCAATGAATCAATCAACTTTATTATTCCCAAGAAACAACGTTTGTTTATAGCAGGGAACATGGTGAATATATTTGACAAAATAAAATGAAGAAGACAGTAAAATAAGACTCACACTCAAGAAGAAATATTTTTTTTTTAATTTCAACTCAAAATGATTCTCAATTGATTCAGCTGTTAGGTACCTACCCAATAGAAAACTATTATAGTAGTTGTAGTTGTACTAGAAAAATATAAAAATTAGATAAGATGATGTCAATATTACAGGAGTAGATGTTTCTTGAATTCCTTTTTAAATTTTTCAATCCTATATTATTAATCAGCTTCAAGTTATTTGGTAGTGAATTGTATTGTATATCATTCCATAGTGATAAATGGATTTTTTACCAATAACTGATTCAATTTTCTTGACAGAAAAATGATCTGCTTGTCATGTTGTGGTGACTATTAATTTGGAAAACCAAATTTGAATGCTTTTGAAAATGTTCAACTGAATGAATGAACGACATCAATTTGAATTTAATAACTCTCTTCTTCTGTAAAGGTTCATAGTAGGTTCCAAATAATTTAGTCTGTATATACATTTTGAAAATTGAAAATGATAATTCACAATTTCAAATTTTGAGTACAACTTCTCTAAAAAATACATTAATATCTACATAAAATTGAAGATTTGAAAAAAGTTGGACAATAATTGACAGAGGTAAAGAGCAATTAGTTTTCAACTTTTTAACTCTTTCATAAGTTGACCTTCTCAAATATAGGTATCATAGTTTCACATTGTCCAAAACTATAATTAGAAAAAGAAGACACTACTTCTGAAGGGGTATATACCTACCTCCACCTACCTCATTATCATTTGAAAACTGGCCCGAGAATTACAAATATTTTTTCAAATTATCTCACAACATTAATTTTTATCTCTTTCTACTAGCATTGAATATTTCCGAACAAGCCAAATGAAAGTAAACAAAATAACTAACAGTTCGTTTGAAGTAACCACGACGATCAGTTTGGGATGTTTGCGTAGGCATCCAAGGAAACTTTCCATCTCTATAATCATCACAAACACGCCATCTGGCCCCTATACAAAAATGAATGTCTTCCGAGAATTATTGTTTCACTCGAAATATGATATTAGAATATTAGTCCAATCAAATGGTATTTTCACTTGGAAAAAATTCAAGTAGTCGGTTTCTCTATGGTTTCATATGTTTTTGGAGGTGCTGATTTCAAATCTAGATTTTGCTAACAAAATTTCCTGGAGTGTTCCGAGATTTTCGCAAAAACCAGCAACATTTTCGGACTTTTTTCGGTTTTTTGTCCGTAACTCGGATATTATACGTTATATCGAAAAGACCGCCCTATAAAAAGTTGAAGTAGATAAAATTTACTAGATATAATTGTCATTGCTCATGAATGTAGGACTAACGAGTGCGGAGATAGAGCCAGTTGAAAATTGACCGAATTTGCGTACTTGTCACTGTACTTAAGTATATTCGGCAAGCTCTTCCATTTGATACCCATATTGCAGTAGTGCATAAATAATAACTTTTTCACCATCTTGGATGGTCCGTCATATTGGATTTAGAATGACGTCACATTATTTTTCGAGTTGATCTCAACTAGCCCTTAGTATATATCTGAGGCTGAATCTAGCATCAAGTATAATGATGCAATATTCAATAATTTCAATAATAGTCAACATTGCTGAGCAAGCTAATTAACTAGAGGTATAGGTATCATAATTAAGTAGGTACGAAATTAGAGGTTTATAATACCCATCATATTATTCCAAGGTGACCAACTGTTTTGATGGACAATCATTCAGAAAAAATTCAAAACATCTAACGTAAATACTTATACACATGTATAAGGTTAATAATAATTGATAAGTTGCTGTTCATTATAGAATGAAAAATAAGACGATCCATAGTGAAGGATGAATGATCAGACTTATTGTTTTCGAACGATCAATTATAGGTAATAATTACATCAATTTACGTAACTGAATCGTATCTAACACACAAAAAAAAGCATGACATTATAGATAACAATTTTCACTTACTAGAATGAGTATGAACTTCGAGTTTTGATTAAAACCATTCTATATCCACATCTACATTACGACTTCTATTTAAAATTGTATGAATAATTGACGTTGCGCCAATAAAATTTCAATTTTAAATTGCCATTGCTCTTTACGAATGTTTTTATATGTTTGGCATGAAATTGAAATTTGCACAATAGCGTAGACTACTATTTCGCATAATTATTTTTTTCTTTGAAATGTATTATTCAATATCGGTTCCAGAAGAATAATGATGTTTACTTTTTGGAATATACCCAATCACGAAAACACTGTTCTAGCCTTCTAGGTTCTAGAAAGTTATAATATGATGACAAAAATCTTTGGATCATGTATGAGTATCCTAACAATCATATTCGTGATTAGAAAGGCATCTTTTACACACAGATTCCCAATGATTTTGGGTCGACTTAACATTATTTCAAGCTCCTGCTTTCGTCAGTGGATCAGAAAGGATGAAATTGAAGAACTTTTATATATTCATTGTTTGATTGATGACAAAAAAATCGTTCGACATGCCTTTCCATCCATTCTGATCCTCGTGAAGAGAGCAGAAAAGCTTGAAACTATTGTGATTAATTTTTTTTTATAGACATAAAAAAATATAACTTTTGAACCATCAACAATTGGATAACCACATATATGTTTAGTTTGATTGGAAACCAATCATGACTTATGGGACACCCTGTATAGATAACTATTTATCAATAAATATTACAGAGAATACTTTTGATCATAATTAGATATATTTATTTTCGATACATAATAGATATCAATATTCTGTGGTATTAGCCAGAAAAGTAGTTGGTTTCGGTAAGATATTTTAACAAAGCTTTTTTCTGTTTTTTTTTATTTCCCAAAAAACGTATTCCCAACCAAGGGGTTCGTAGAATATTCCACAAGCAGACATTATATTATAAACAATTCACTGTGTATATTGGAATATTGACACATCCAATCATCCAATGATTTAATAGTTAGATTTTGGCAAGTTTTGCAGAACTAGATAATAAAATTCTTTGCAAAATAAACGGCTGTGTGAGAGAGCTAGGAAAATTTCCTAATTACATGAACTGAAAAAATAAACTTCCAGTTTATTTATGACGTGGACTGTATGCTAATCTATCTATAAGATTTATGTTATAAAGTCCACATAGTTTATTGATCTTTTCACATAGGGAAACGATGTTCATCTACATACAGGGTGTATCACTTCAATTGCCTCCCCTCTTCATCTCAGTTCTTTTGTCATGCAAATATCCGACAAGAACTTTTTCCAGAGACAAATATGGTACATCAACTCATTGGGATCAGAAGTGATCGTTTTTTTTACAAGCGGACCTATTTTTTCGCCATGCTTCAATTGCAAAAGAGGTCTCAAATAATTGATTCTGTCTAAATTTAAAACCCACTATGGTCATAGTTTCGGACCTATTATCTTATCAAATACTTAGTTGATAATTCGTTAAGCGAATTTATATCCGTAAGCCAATTCAGATAACAACAATAATGACAGAAGAATGGTCATAAATCATTGTTGTTAATAATGCCGTCCTGAAAATAGACTTATCGTTCGATTAAGCCAATGGGAACGAATCAATATTGCTATTTAAAGAATATATTAACCTAATAAAAATCTCTGATATAATAAATATGCAGATTATCTGTGTTTCATGATTATTCCGAATAGCTATACGCAATATAAATAAGCAAATTTGAACATCATTATTTCTTGATACGTTACTACTAAATGAAATCAAACTAAGACTTGATTGAATGATAGTAGATTGTTTTATTAGGACCAGAAGTGACCATTTGTTGTTGTTTGTCTAGCGAAGCCGAGCGAAAGGCGAGTAAAACAAAGTCACTTTTGAGCCGAATGGAAAATGCAATTTTTTCTGCAACCGAAATAATTAACTAAAATAAATATGTGAAGTAACCACCAATGTAACTTACTCGACAGATTATTATAATACCTTCATTGTAATAACATAGCAAGACCTCAGACTACTTTACATCAGAATATTGGTGGACGATGACTTTACTTTCTTACAATTTGTGTTGACATGCATCATCAGATACTACAGGCACGAATTCAATACTATTCCCGAAACGTGGATGCTGTGCCATATGTATGCAATGCAACGAATAATCCGTGTGGTGAGAATATTCTACCAGCATTTACAGATCATGTTTATTCAATATCCAAGGATGTTCGAATTGTAGCTTTGATATGAATAGATCCACAGAATGACCTATTTGTGTATTCCACTGTGTTTGGCTCGGTAATCAAATGAAGGTAAACAGTATAGTTGTGTGAGACAAAAAAGTATTGCTGGCCGTGATTATTCAAAAACCAGTCATCCAATCAATCAGATCCCGAGAATGAATGAAATACAGATCAAGCAAATATCAATCTTGAAGGCTTTCCTGATCAAAACTAAAATAGTCAACTATAATATGGTGTATTTATATCTCCCAATCGGCAGAAGGATATTCGAGATATTAAAAAAAAACTCTTTTCAATACTTGCACGCTTCTATCGAGCAAATAATTGAACGTTGATTCTTTTTTTATTTGTTCAACAGATGCAAGTTATTTTGTATCACAATCAAAGTGGCCCAGCAGCGTTTTCTGGTGATCTCAAGCAGAAAGAAGTTCACAAAGCTATCACCCTCCACCCTGTAAAACAACCCCAGAACATGTACAGGCTACACAATTATGTCAAGGTTCGTATTACTCGCATTGTTGACCAAATAATATTGTTGTACCTATACATGTATAAGTATCAGTTATTATCAGTGAAATACAGAAATTCTGTTTTTTTAACGGCTATAACACAAGATTGCTCTTGATTTACTGTGTTCGATACATCAATAGGCGTTTTCGGAAACCTACTCGGGTTGACTCGATCCCTAACCTGCACGTTCGTTTACCTAACCCGAGTAACATACCCATGTTCGGAAACTTCGGTGTTACTTACTCGATCACTAACTCGGGTTCATGTTTCGCAACCCTGCTTCAAAGCAGGGTCAGCCAGAGTTACTACCTTAGATCATACACTTACTACCACAGAACTACTCACGATTCATGTATTTCTAAGGTCACTTCAGATATAATTTGATTTCATCAATTGAACAAGTAGTGAATTATGTTGAATAGCATTAGTTTGATGATGAAAATACATCAACATCATGAGCAGAAGCAATATTCATCATTTCTAGAACAATAACAACGTGTATCTTTTAAGAGTTCAGTGGTATGTTTTTAAAGATATGGAGAAATTGATCCGAAAATATTGATATCGCATAGCAAACTGAAAAAATTGCATACGTGAGAAATCAAGAAGTTCTATTCGAAGTAGTATAAAGCTAACTCAATAAAATAGTAACCTGATAAGTTCGTAAACTATAGTATTAGGATAAGTGATCCGACTGATCCATCACGTGACCCGTTCAGATCGAGTCCACAACCCAGAGTAAGTTTCCGAAAACGCCTAATGAGGTACTTTTGTATGTCATCAATTTTATTTCCGAATCTGATATCACAATGATTCTCTGTCTAATAGATGAGCATTACTTGACAGGGAATCAGATGGCTACAAGCCGAAGCATAAAATACCGCTGTTATCTGTTACAGTCGTAGAAAAATTATAGTGTATAACTTGCAAGGAATGCAAATTTCCTACTCGAATGAATGCATCATTCACCTTTCATTCTCGTAGGAAATCACTATCATTCCGTGCTCCTTACACAATATACTAATTTTCCAACTGTTTTTGTAACATAATGATTTCATTGTGTTACCGCGTTATAGCGAGTTAGTTATAATATTGTACAAATTTAAATAAGATTATAGTAAAACGTGTCAAACGATCATGTGATTATTATGATGAGCAGCAGAAGTGATGAATTGGAATTCCATGTTATTTCTCTTGTTAGAGTCGTAAAAAAAGTATGGTGCATAACTCGCACTGATTGATAATTTCAAACTTGTACGATTATTTGAATACCTATCGCATTACTTTCGATAAAAAAATCAATAAAATATATTTTTTCAAATTCAGAATAGATACTTGATGATGATGTGTTATCAATACCTACATACTGGGTGTTTTTAAAAAGTGGCACACTCCTAAAACTTTTTTTTTTTTCTATAAATAAACAAATGAATTTCGGTGTGGGAGTATAGTTCATAAATATGCATTATTTGTTGTAGGTATTCAATTGTTTCCTGACACTTACGGTTTGACCGGAAATCACCCATATTTTCTTATTTTAAATGGGACACCCGGTATATATTTAATTATTTCGATAGAGAATAACATTGTGAGTAGAATGACACCCCATTTGCCAGTTTTTGACATTCATTATCCTGAAATTCTCATTTTTCAATTTTCAATCTAGAGTGATTATGATACTGGATATTGATTCAAAATATCGATTATGTGGTATCAACGTGTTCCTAACAAAATCCTTTTTTCAGATAATATGGTAATTGAGCCACCCTTTTTCTATTTGAGAAAATTGAGTTAACATCATAATTACGATATTGTGAATTTTGAATGAACCTGTGAAACGAATAAAAAGTCAAACTTCATCGAAACTATTTTTTTTCTTTTTCTTATGTTCTGGTTCTCACGAAGAGGAATATCCTGTAATGTTCAGAGAACATCGTGAGAACCAAGGTAAATAAAGTAGGAATTGGTGTTCTTCTTGAATTTGTGGAGGTTATATGCCTCGGGGAACACCTCCCTTAGTAATGTGTTCCAGAGCCTCGCTGTTCGTTGAATGAACGGGTCTTTCGAAAGAGATGTTCTGCATGTCTCCAAAGTGACCACGAAGGGTAGCAAAACCCCAACTCGACGGGTTGATCTCGCGGGGACTGCCAAGGGAGGAACAGTTGTTGATATTTCAGAAGAACATCGTCCATGAAAATATCCATCAAATAGAGCCAGATCGACAACTTTTCTACGGTGTTCCAGAGAAGTGAGTGAGTTTGTGAGCGAGGCATCACTCACGAGATGAATTGCCCTTTTTTGGACAAAACCCAACAGTTTCAGGGTATGTTTGGGTGCTGCACTGAAATATGGGAACAGTATTCCAGGACAGGTCGGATCTGTGCCTTATATAATATATCATAAGCAGCTGACTGGAAGTGAAATAGCTCCTGGCCCGAAACAAAAAACCAAGTTTTCTGGATGCACTTTTAGCAATTGATTTCACGTGATTTTCTCAAGAATGGTTATTGCTGATAGTAATATCAAGCATCGAAATGGATGTCTTCAAAGGTATAGTTACTCCTGACAAGCTTATGTTGGGCATAGTGAGATCGGATTTTCTAGAGAAAAGGCATGCTTGTGTTTTGTTTGCATTGAAATCTACCAAGTTATTGGATCCCCATTCGAGAATAGTTGCCAAGTCCATATTTATGTTGTCAACATTTCTCTCTCGTTCGTTTCTGATTTGCCTGGCTTGTATTGGAGCGGAGCCCTGGAAGAGAAAGCGGTATGGAGGGTACTATCATATCCGCGAAGCTGATGTGTACTGGACATGAAATTGCTTCCAACAAATCGTTGATATGGAGTAGAAATAGTGATGGTGCTAGAATTGATCCTTGCAGAACACCAGCATTTATGATAGGAGAGTCAGATGAAACTCCGTCGACCATTACATGGAGAGACCTGTTTGAGAGAAAACTAGCTAGCAGAGAACATAACTGGGGAGGCAAGCCATAAGATGGAAGCTTGGCGAGGAGTCCGTGGTGCCAGACTCGATCGAATGCCTTGGAGATATCAAGTGCCACGGCTAAGGTTTCACCATATTTTTCAATAGATTGCTGCCATATATGTGAGACGTAAGCGAGCAGGTCACCAGTTGATCTCTGATGACGGAAGCCATATTGCTTATCGTTGATAATACCTGAAATAATAGATAGCAGTGCGATCGGTCTGTAGTTGCTAGGTAGGGTCTTTTTGCCTTTTTTAGGAACTGGTTGTACTCTTGCAATTTTTCAGTTGGACGGGAATATCCCCGATTTGTAAGAGTAGTCGAACAACTTGCAGAGAACAGGTGTTAGTTCGGGAGCACATTTGCTGTGAACTATCGGTGGGATTCCGTCGGAGCCATAAGCTTTGTTGGTGTTGGAACCCAATAAAATCTTCCTTATAGTACGTTGGCGAAAGGTAATATCGGAAATATGACTGTCATCAATTGGCGTTATGTTTGGAGAATGTTTTCCTGATGCATTCAGAGTGGAATTTCCAGCAAATAAATGCGCAAAAATGTTGGCTTTCTCCTGGGCAGTTGTGGTTAGTGTTCCATCTTCCTTGGTTGGAGGAGACGAGCTGGAAGTGAAGTTTCTTCCTTAGGCAACATGATTCAAAATCAACTGTTCCAACTCATTCATGGCACTTGAGATGGAAAATTGAAAATTTCAGGATGAATTGTACTTCCAATGTTATTCTTTATCGAAATGAGTACAAATATACCGTGTGTCTTATTTAAAATAAGAAAATATGGGTAATTTTCGGTCCGGAAGTGATAGAAAAAAATTGAATACGCCAAATAATACATTTATATGTACTATACTCACACACCGAATTTCATTCATTTATCTGTATAAACAAAAATGTTATAAGGGTGAATCCACTTTTGAGAAACAGCTGGTATATCTAAAATTAATTGTGGAAGATCAAGGAGAAGGAGGCAATTGCTTTTCCTGCCCCTCCTAAATAACGCCCATATGCTTCCAGCAAACTTTATTGCCACGTTTCTTTTGAAAAGATCAATTTCATGTGACTGCTGGAGTGTAGCATGATTCAGCCTTGAAGAATAATGAACTCTAATATAATTATACATTCATGTGTCAACAGTTTATCGAGTTGTATTTGCTTACTTTAACCATCCGACTTTCCAGTCTTTGCAGAAAATTTAATAGGTGTTGAATAATTCGCGTTAAACACTAACAATTATTCTAAAAATATATGATACGGAATTGAATCATCTCATGAATTTACATTTACAACTGGTGATAGGAATCAAGGATTTACGTTTCTATTGTTCCATTTTGTTGGCAGTAGTTTATCAATTCATTCATACTTTGAAAATCTCAATTCATGAATGAAATACACTGCTCATCAACTGAAAAGCAGCCAAAACAGGAAAACTGTATACCTCAGCTGAGAAAAACATCATTTATTTCCTTCTTGATTTCGAGTTATTTCCAGGGTCTGAAGATCCAACAGGACCAGCAGGATAGTATCCTGCTGCACCGAGACATAGCTATGTCGATGCAGGAATTGGGATATCGAATCAGCAGTTTAGACACAGCTGATTTAGCTGAAAATGTGCCACTATTTCCTGTCGGAAAAGGTTCCGATGGATACCTTGGAGACACAAGTATTTTGGGTAAGAAAAATAGTAATTAGTTAACACGCTTATATCAGCTTGGTATGTAGCTTGGTATGTAGGTTTGTATACAGGGAGACATTTTGAAAACTTCCCACCCTCAATATCTTCCTTCCAGTGAATAATATGAGAAATTTGAGGAGAAATCGAAAAAACAGGTCGATTTTATTTTCATGGGGGACACTTGAAATGATTAGTTTTAGCTGTCTTGGTTCTACCTAGTAGGAAGGGTAGATGTTACCATTGGAATCTCAAATGGGAAAGGGGGTCAAGTGGGTCATTATTTCGAAGAGTGTTCAATTCTTTTTCCAACGGTACCCCAGTTTATAATAATAATAATAATAACATTTATTGATCCCAAGAAACATACAATGTTTATAGAGGGAAACAACAACAACAAAAAATCAAATATGCAATACAATGAAAGATAAACAGTTCAATCAGAATTAATTGATACAAGGGGAGAGTTAAATTGATAAAATATATTTCTTCAGTTCACACTTAAATTTTGTGACGAATCTGATAGATTTTATTCTGTTGGGTAGACTATTATAAATATTTATTCCACAAAAATACAATGATTTTTTCCCGAATTGGGTTTTTATTTTAACAGTTTTCAAATTTTCACTTTGTCTGGTGTGATGCTCATGGGTATCAGAATTGATATTGAAAGTAAGATTCGAGTGCTTTTTCTTATTTTTAGTGAAATGAATGAAAATGCATACTTTCATTTTGAAGAGAGAGTCAATATCTAGTAGATCTCTTGGTTTGTATAGTCTAGATGTTGATTCCAGAAATGGTAGTTTATAAATACATTTTATGGCTTTATTTTGAAGAGATTTCAGAGGTTTCAAAACAGATTTTGCTGCAGTACCCCAGATCGATATCAGAATTTAGAGTAAATCAAACTGAAATAAATTAATTTCAAGTATTTAAGAGGTATAAAAGACCTCAATTTGTATAATATACCAATAATGGGAGATATTTTTTTCCTGAGCAATTGAATATGCGATGACCAAAATAGAGTCTGGTCTATAGTTAAACCTAAGAGTTTGGAGTTTTTTGTAGGATTTATACAAAAATTCCCGAATTTTAACGGATCTATTTGGTTATCAGGTATAATTCTTTTCGAGATGAACATAAAAGAAGATTTATCGAAATTGAGTGTCAATTTATGATCTTGTATCCATAATGTTATTGAAACGAGATCTTGTTCCATTTGGTTTTTTATTTCTTGTATATTTTTTCCGTAATAAATGAGAGTTGTGTCATCGGCAAATAATTTTAAATTCCCTTGTAATTTCAATCTTGAGATAGAATTTATATAAATTAGAAATAAAATAGGTCCGAGAATTGATCCCTGGGGTACACCACAAGATATGTTTCTTATTGAAGAAAATGGATCTCCCATATACACAAACTGCTTTCTATCAACTAGTTAATTTTCAAACCAAGAGTAAACTTTACCTCTTATCCCTATTTGAGTTAATTTCATTAATAGAATTTCAAAATTGACTGTATCAAATGCCTTTCGCAAATCCAGCAGTTTCCGAAAAATGTCGTGTCAATTAGAAAACTTCCCACGCTTGATTTCTTCCTTGCAGTGAATGATATGAAAAATCGAAAAGACGTGAATTTGATTCCTAAGGAAGACACTTGAAATTCATATTTTTAGCCCTCTTAGTTCAGGTAGGTTAGGTTAGATTCCATGTGAATGGGGTGAATACCGCCCCTCCACTGTGACCCTAGATGGGTCTATTGGCTCACTCCTAGAAGTTACAGTTCACTATACAATCCACATCTTTTTACAAAGGCCAAGGTTGAATTAGGTGAGAACGCCCTGTAAAATGATGTGCCACTTGACCCCCCTTCCCATTCGAGATTCTAAGGGTAATATCTACCCCTCCCAGGAGGTTGAACCGAAAGGGCTAAAAATATGCAATTGAAGTGTCCTCCTTGTAAAAAAAATTGGCCTGTCTTCTGGATTTTTCGTTAAGAAATTACTATTAAGATTATATAAGTTTTTGAAAAAGAGTTGTTTAACATGTTATTATGTTGGGTAACGTTCATTTAATAATTTATCGACTACACTGGACCAATTCATTGTTATGTTAGCATTATTCATAAGGAAATTATACATGAACATCATGTCAGTCATCCGCAACAAAGATGTAAATAACAATTATCTTTTGATTATCTCATAAGCATGATAGGTTAGGTATCATTAATAATGTCTCCCTGAAGATGAAAATGAAAATTTTCGAAAACTTGGACAAACTTTAAAGAGTACTCTTTTGACTTTTGCTGCGGTCTCCAATACTCCCTAGTTCCAACTACCCTTTTCCTATATACAGGGTGTTTCATAATTGAATGCTGATCCTTAAGGGTGATAATCCTTGGGTGATTTTAAGAAAAATTCTTCATGTGAACATAGGTCCGTAACAGCTTCGTTTCTGAGATACAGGATGTTGAAATTTAACAAAAACATCAGTTATTCCCCAATATCTCTGAAACCGCTCTGGCTTTTTTCTTCATTACAAATACTCAAAAATAGTTACCATAAAATTATAAAAATATTGGTCAGATCTTTTGGTTACCACAATTGTGATATTATGACTAAGAGTAAAAATCGAATAGGGACAAGCAAATGAATGCATTTTATTTTCTAACTCAAAAACCGTTCGCCGGACGAAAAAAAGACAAGAGACCATTTTTATGAGAAGATAGAGGATAATTACAAAAATAATATTCATTTGGAAAAAAGACAGACGCGTATCATTATTTTGATGAAAAATATGACAGGGTATGTTAACAGGGACGCCACTGATGGAAATTAAGAAATCCTTCATTGTGGAAAAAATGTATTTCTATTCATACTCGGCATGTACCAAAATTGAAGAAAAAAGCCAGAGCGGTTCCAGAGATATTGGGGAATAACTGATTTTTTTGTTAGATTTCAACATCCTGTATCTCAGAAACGAAGCTGTTACGGACCTATGTTCACATGAAGAATTTTTCTTAAAATCATCCAAGGATTATTGCCCTTTACGATCAGCATTCAATTATGAAACACCCTGTATAAATATATGTATATGTAACGCGGAATCAACTAACATGATTTTGGCCCGCTTCAAAACGTCAGTACTGATGACAACAGCGTAATTTAATGGTATCGTGCCATTATCCTGATCAGGATCTTCAGGATGAGCGATTTTTTTTTTTTCGTATAAAATGGTGAGTGATGTTCCGCCACAAAAAATTCAAAATGTTCCTTCACCAAATATTCAAAATGTTCCTTCACCAAATATTCAAATTTAGTTTTTTATATCTATAGACACGGCAGTCCCTTCCACCAAGTACTAGTATGAATAAATTTCAATAAACTACTCAATACCATGAAACAGATTGCAGTCAACAACGGATACAATGTTAATTTAATAGACAGTATTCTTCCTAAAAAAAACTCCATAATAAAGCTATTCGAGAATTATCCTACCATCAAAAATAATAATCAACATTATAGAACTTTAACCTATTCCGAATCATCAACTGAAAATTAGCTTCATTTCTACATAAACAGGACTCAAAGTAGTATAGAATAAATAACACGTTGGGAAGAGTTATCAAAAATAATAAAGACAAAACTTCTGAATTCGAGAAATCAGGGGTTACAAAAAACTCAACTGTGGATCTTGTCCTCAGGTATATATCGGTCAGACAGGTCGTACGTTTAATCAGCGCATTCATGAACACAAGATAGGTACATTTTTTGAAAAAGTTCAACATACGCCAATCATACAGAGTGGGCCTTTGAAAACGAAACAGAGGCTCTGTAGGTCGCCAAAACCGGATTATCAAAAAAAACTGAAACAGGTCAACTACATTTTCGAGGGGGACATCTTTCTAAAATATTTTCAGCCCTGCGGCGTTGCCGCTTCTAAAGAAAAGAAGCAAAAACTTTGTTATTTCAAATGGAACACCTTGTATTTTATTGCATTCTTAGATTCTCTCCGAAGAGCTGAATTCATCAATGCATCACACTTGGGGTCTAGCTGTAATGGTTTCAGGGATATAAAGTGTTCAAAATCGAGATTTTTCAACTTTAACATTTTTTGTGTCGAAACTATTCATTATTGGTCAAAACGGCTCTCATGTCCCTATCTCAACTTGTGATTTACTATCTACTGACATTTATTTGAAACAAATACAGGGTGGTTCAAGATTCAGAATTCTGATCACCCTGTATCTGTTCCAATTAAATGTCAGTAGATAGTGAATCACAAGTTGAGATAGGGACATGGGAGTCGTTTTGACCAATAATGATTAGTTTCGACACAAAAAAATGTTAAAGTTGAAAAATCTCGATTTTGAACACTTTATATCCCTGAAACTATTACAGCAAGACCCCAAGTGTGATGCATTGATGAAATCAGATTTTCGGGGAGAATCTAAAAATGCAATAAAATACAAGGTGTTCCATTTGAAATAACAAAGTTGTTGCTTCTTTTCGTTAGCAGCGGCAACGCCGCAGGGCTGAAAATATTGTAGGACGATGTCCCCCTCGAAAATTTAGATGACGTGTTTCAGATTCTTTTCATAATCCAGTTTTGGCGACCTACAGAGCCTCTGTTTCGTTTTCAAAGGTCCACTCTGTATATTAGAAGAAAATCATAGTTTTGATGATAATTTCGAAATGCTACACGTAGAAAATGGAGGAATTAAACTCAAATTATCTATTGTGCTTGGGCAGCGGTTCCACAAAGATCCTCAGAATATGATGTCTTTTCCGCAGAAGAAATGAGAAAAATAAATAATAAATCACTCTTTTTAAAAAGTTACAATGAGGTCATGACCATCTTTTGTCCGTCTACTTTACAATTTTATTCAGGTCATATTCAGAAAGAAAGATATTATGTTTCAGGAGCCCCGTCTAGTCTGAATAGGTACACTCCACGTGACTTGAAAGACGTTTTAGAATGGGAATTGATCTCAAAAACCATCTACTCGCACAGAGATGGAAATCCCAGAAGGAGAATCGGTACATCCATGAAAGAGGGATTGAACGACATCATCATAGAGGTACCTGAATATTTGATGGATTGATTGTCTTTATTACCCCAAAAAACATTATTGTTTCTAATTCAAATTTGATATTTTCAATTCCTTCCTGATGAAATGAATAAAGCAAAAAAAATTGAGTTTATATAATGAAACTAGATTCAGCAAGTCTTCAGGTTTGCATAGATTCACAGTTGATTCTAAAAAAGGTAAATTGAAAATGCACTTGATTGTTTTATTTTGTAATTTCATGAGTGGCTTCAAACGTGAAATATTTGTACTTCCCCAAATAGATATTAGATATTGTAAATTTGAACAAAAAAGACAGGCATAAACACTCTTAAGGTATCTAACAGGAATGAAATTCCGAATTTTATATACAGGGTGTTTCATAATTGGATGTCAATATTCGAGTAGGCGATTCTCGAGCCCATTCTAAGAAGAAATTTTCATATGAAAGTATGACCTAAACGTCCTAACTTTTTAGATACAGGGTGGTAAAGTTCTCAAAAATTAATAAAGCCTATTACAGTGAAAAGTTATAATTCCAAAATACCAAATACGAATAGAAAGTTCATAAACTATGAATTGTATTACTGAAATTTGATCTCAAAAATAGAATCTATTTCTCTGCATTGTGATATTGTCATATTAACGATATTGCTATAATCATGTAGTGAAAAGCCTTTTATTTTTTCAAGCGAAAACCGTGCATCAGATTGAAAAAATTGTGGTGATCAAATTTGCTTAGAAATGATTGGGAATTTCAGGAATGATTTCAATTTCGAGATTAATCAGTGGAGTACCATCAATGTCTGCCAAAATAAGTATGTGAAATTCCATACGAACACCACTGGTGGCAACCAAAAAAAATGTGGCACACTAACTGATGCCTCTTGATACATAGTACATGTATGCCAAAATTCATTAGAATATCTGAAGTGGTATTACAGATATTAATAAAAAACTGTTAATTTTCGAGAACTTTACCACCCTGTATCTCAAAAGTTAGGACGTTTAAGTCATACGTTCATATGAAACTTTCTTCTTAGAATGGGCCCAAGATACGCCTCCCCAAATATTGACATCCAATTATGAAACACCCTGTATAATGATCTATATGTAGAGTCCACGATAATTGTTCATCAATATAAAGACCTAAAAATTTTGTTACATTTGTATATTCGATGGATTTGTTATTGAAACATATTGGGGTATTATTCAATATATCCGATGTTCATCTTGAGATGTACAGTGTGTCCAGTTTTCGATGCTTTTGTGGGATATCTCAGTTATCTTTGGAGATAGAACCTTGCGGGTTTCGCGGTCGTGTGCCACTTTTTTGTGAAACTCAAGATGGCCTAATCAGATTTTGCATAACTGTTTCCGTTTATGAGATACAGGGCGATTTTGAAAATTTATACTTTTTGGACCCCTTCTATATCTACGAAGTTTCTCAGCAAAAATGTAAAATTAAAATCTCATCCCATATAAAAGTTCACGCAGAATCCAGTGGCGCACCCAAAATTTTTTTTCGGGGTATGGTTTTGGAGATACGACTCAAACTTATGATTTTTTAAATGGAACACCCTGTATTTTATAAGCTCATAAAAATCCTCATTTTTTTCTCTTCAAAATGATTTATAATGTATGTATATGAAATTTTCAAAAATGCTCTGAAATCACTGAAACATTGAATTTTAATAGTGGGCTATGGATTTTTCTTATGAAAAAGTTCCAATAGAAGGAATATTCATTTTGATTTTTCCATAAAGAGGACAAAAACAATACCAACACAAATTAACTAAGAAAACACAAAAATTATGTACCTGATAGCAACAAATAAATAGTAATAAAAATTTCATAATGTAGAATAAGCACCAGATCGAATATTTACAAATACAATTGAATTTCGGAATTATTCAATAACTTATTCACTGAATTGTTCAAATTGATGTCCATTTCCCATAACACACAATTGAGACATTTTCTCAATACGTCTTGATACAGTAAGAGTCACAAATATCTTGAAGAACTTCGTGCAACAACAGAGGCAGTTTTCCAGGAATTGCAAAGACATCCTTTAATGATTTTGAATGCATTAAGAGAAAGCGTGTGAGGGAAAGTGGACATCAATTTGAACAATTCAATGAATAAGTTACTGATTAATTTCGAAATTCAATTGTCTTAGTGAATATTAAATCAGGTGCTTATTCTAGAATATGAACTTTTTATTACCATTCATTTGTTGTTATCAGGTACCTAATTTTTGTGTTATCTTAATTAACTAGTGTTGGGATTGTTTTTGTCCTTTTCATCAAATGAAATATCCCTTCAATTGGAACTTTTTTTAAATGAAAAATCCATAGCCCTTAATTAAAATTCAATGTTTTAGTGATTTTGGAGCATTTTTGAAAATTTTATACCTATTCATCATATTTCATTTTGATGGGGAAAAAATAAGGAATTTAATGAGCTTATAAAATACAAGGTGTTCCATTTAAAAAATCATAAGTTTGAGTCGTATCTCCGAAACCAAACCCAGAAAAAAAAATTTGAGTGCGCCACTGAATTCTGCGTAAAATTCTGTATGGGATAAGATTCCAATTTGACATTTTCGCTGAGAAACCTCGTAGATATAGAGGGGGTCCAAAAAGTATAGATTTTCAAAATCGCCCTGTATCTCATAAATACAAACAGTTATGCAAAATCTGATTAGGCCATCTTGAGTTTCACAGAAAAGTGGTACAGGACCGCGAAAACCGCAAGGTTCTATCTCGAAAGATAACTGAGATATCACGCAAAAGCATCGAAAACTGGACACACTGTACATATAGGTACGAAGATTTACTGGGTGTCCCGAAATTAGCCTGCCAAACTTCACCAGCGGCTTTTACGACCAAAAATAGAAAGAAAACTTTCAATGAACATGAGTCGAGAAATGTCTCCAAAGGGAGCTACGGCCCCCTGAAAGGGGGCTCCTGAAGATGATATTTCTTGAGTATTTTCGAAACTCCATATGATAAAAAGATGCAATTTGGTACAAGAACTAAACTTTCCGTGCCCAATGCAGTGAAAATGAAATCATCTCAAAATTTTAATCAGGAGTGTATAATAAAGGGGTGGGACTACCTAAAATATTGCTGTAAATTTTTTGTATGCATATTTTTCGATAATTTAATCCAGGATTATGAAACTCCTCACCTTTGTACAGAAAAAAGGTACTCTTGTTCCGTGGCGATCAGATGTGTTATTATCGAGTAAAAGCAATTTAAAAATATTGTTACATCTCAGATATTATGCATAACATTGCAATGAGGCGTAGTGAAAATGGAAAAAAATACACAAAAACTGAAGTAGTTTTTTCATCATCTTTTTTCTATTTTTCGCGCTCTTATGATATTGTTTGGTAAAAATAAAGTACTTTATTTTTTTATAGCCACTTTGATTCGAAAATTGGCAACGTTATGCATAAGATATGAGTGCATCAATATTTTTAAATCGATTTAACTCGAAAATGATACATCTGATCGATGAGGAACAAGAGTACATTTTTTCGTGAAACGGTGTGGATTTTCATAATCCGAGATTAAATTGTCAAAAAATATGCATACGAAAAAGTTTGAGCAATATTTAATGTAGTCCCACCCCGTATTATACACTCCTGTATGAAACTTTGGAATGATTTTATGTTCACCGCATTGGGCATGGTGAATTTAGTTCTTGTACTAAATTGCATCATTTTATCACGTGGCGTTTCGGAAATATTCAAGAAATATCATCTTCAGGAGCCCCCTCTCAGGGGGCCGTAGCTCCCTTAGGGGATATTTCTCGACTCATATTCATTGAAACTTTTCTTCCTATTTTTGGTCTCAGAAGCCGCTGGTGGAGTTTGGCAGGTTAATTTTGGGACACCCTGTATAATTAAGAGTCAACTTATTCGTCGTTAGCCAAGATGATATTCGTTTCAAACCATTTTTAATATCGTGTTTCTTCGGCTGCTGAATAGTTCATCGCTTTTCTAGGTTATGGAATTAATTAACGCTTATTCGAATCAAAGAGGCAGAATCATAGACTTCAAGGACATTCTCTACGGGTATTGGAGGCTGGATCCCATCTATGGAGTCGATTTGATATTGGACCTTCTTCTCGTGTACAGAAAATACAGGGGACACAAAATGACAGTCCAAGTCAGGAGGCATGCTTATGTACAACAAACATATACGGGTAAGATATACAGATTGTTTATTGAATCGTTACATAATATAAGAGTATCAAGAAATGATGGCATTTCGCAATATGGTCAGTTATGGTGAATAGAGGTTGTTTCACTGTGGTAACCAGTGTTGTCAGGTCTACCGTTTTAGCCTCATATTGTAATGATATTTCCCTTGGAGGGGCTCTAGAAACATCATCAAGAAGACAGGAGTACAACGATCATCCTGTAACACGCATCCCAGATTGTTCTCCAACCTCCCAATGATTCCTACATACACCAGCATATTTCCGAACACTCAATATATGCCGCAGTGCCAAATAACGTGACAGAAAATTCTGGAATGTTATGGAAACAATCGATGGAACAATTAGAGAGAGAGAGGTTTTGTTCTAAGAAGCTTCTAGAACAAAAAGAAGGAGACGACAGATCATTCGAGAACGTTCTCGAACCAAAGCTTTCCAAGGGATCTCGTATATAAACGGCCGAACAACTGCCGTCAGTTAGTCGAGCAGCGAGTGTCAGAGAGACAGTTATATACCGCGTGATTTAAATCGTTTTACATGAATAGTAGTTATGAGTTCGATATAAATTAGTGTTTCTTTAGTTCAATTACATCAGTCCGAAAATAAATAGGTTCGTGTTCGCTTTTGCACCCGAATAACGTAACAATATTTTTGAATTTAGGTACATCTGAATAAAAATATTGCATTTGGTTTTATTTTGATTCAATTTGATTCATTGAGTGCGGTTACATATCTCTATTGCAGTAACCACACTACGAGTAGGGCACTGTCAGTGACGTCATATGAGGTAAAATTATCGGTCATTGAACAGCTGATGGAAGGACAAACATAAACATTTTCCGTAAGGGTATATGTAACTTTCTTGCACAGTTTTCACTATAAAACAAAACCAAACGGGTTTATTTGTCAATTTAAAATGACTGGATTCACTTGAATATCAGCTCTATTATACCTAATATAACTCATAATATACCTCAATAGATACTCAGTCTGCAACAAACAATGTATACACATTTTCTCGTATCATATCTACAAGTTTAACAAAAGCACCAATGGGTGAGAAATAATGATATCAAAATTCACCAATGCTTTGTTTAAATTACCTTTTTCTGTAACCGACACTGAAGTCGTCAATTTCAATTCCAAAATTAGCTCTTTAATTGACGTTTTTATTACTGATACAACCATAGGTATATTGCTAGGCAACATTTCCACTTTCAATTCCTAGGAGCTGAAGTTGAAGTTTTTAGCTCCTTGAAACTAAAGAGGATGTACCAGGTCCTCAAGAATTAACAACATTGTTATTTATGTTGATTATTTGTGTTGGGCATCTGATACACATGTATTTTCATTTCGATCAGTTCATTCGTTATTCTCGAGATCTGATTGATTGGATCTTGTTTTTGAATAATCACGGCCAGCAATATCTTCTTGTCTCACACAACGACATTTCTACCTCCATTTGATTACCGAGCCAAACACAGTGGAATATATTATTATTGTTGATATGCTCACTGACCTAACATTGAGTTGTTAGTCAGATTATCATTAGACCAGTACAATAATTGTTCCTTGGGGGATCTGGTTATCTATTTCACATTTTCATATCGTTAACATTCATGGATTGTTTTCCAACAATAATAAGAATGTTTGCCAATTCTTTTAACATATGTCATGTCTTGTATGTCATGTCAAATGTCAACTTCAAATTTGCTTTGATTATTCCAGTACTTTCTGTCACTAATTAGGTTCACTTCAACACGACAGTATGCCACAGGGCTGTTTGAGAAAATGTAATCCGCATATTATTAATCTGTTTGTATCGTAATTAGCCATAATGTTAATATTATTCAAGTGAACCAAAGATATTTTCTTGGAAGATTTTCTTGTCAACCAGACGAGTAAGTGAACTCACTTTATAATTTAAAACTTCATATTCAACGTTTTTCCATTTTTTTAATTTTATGATGTCAAAGTTGATTCACTTTCACTGATTTTCAAATTTAAATTCAACTTTTTTCAAAAAAGTTCAAGAAATTATTTTCAATTTTTCATGAGGTCTTTTTCGAAACCTAAAAGCTGTTTACTTACTAACAGCGTTGATTGATATATTACGCTTACGCTGGGAAGATGCCCAACCTGTGTTATTTGCGACTCGATACCCCGCTCATCCCCTCGTCTATCGTTTTGCCACTGTGAGGTAGCGACTCCACTAGGCACACAGAACATGTCTGAACTAATTGTACAGATTACTACAATTTTGTACAGAATTACTGATCCCATCCCACCGCGTGCTATCGCTCCAGAAATTTTTGTTTATCTTTGTCTTCTACGATGAGACCCGACCCGCCCGACCGGTTCCGATAAAAAATGTTTGCTACGGTCGGTGAATCCCATGGACGTATATGGGGAATCCGCATTCCTCAACAATAACAACGGGTTGTGAGTATTGATTTTTCCCTCGGTTCCTTGCGGAAGAGAGAAGAACATATTATGATCTCTCACTCAGTTGGGTTCCTACTCCGTGGCGTTTTTTAAATTCCCTTGTGAATAACTTGTCATACTTTGCCAAGACCAATATATATGAATATCTGGAAAAACATCTCACGCCTTTTTGTTGAATATTTTTTTCACTCAATTTTACAAAATATTGATAATATAATCAATCTGAATGTGATAATAATTTCTTAGAGTCTCATCAGTAGATAGAAAATAAATAGTCAGATATCATTGAATCTTTGATTGTTAATGATTCACTATAAAAATGAAATAAAATACATCATCTATAATAGGCATAATATACAGAGTGAGTCATAACTATTGGAACATATATAGATCGAATTCATTTATTTATTGGATTACAAGAGTTGAAGCTGCAAAGCTTATGAGACATTTTTTACAGTATCTAGCTGTTGAAAAATATGAGTTCTTTTTTTGGTATATTTGAAGAGATAAAAACAAATTCAACAGAAAACAGCTACATTTCCAGTCTATATATGCCACGATATATAATCATGAAATCGGCGTTGATATTTTGTGATACCAGTAACTTTTTCTGAGTAGAATCGATTTTGCCGCTCCAGAACAACGGAGTACAGACTACGGAACGCTCAGAATCTCTGCCCTAACAACACAGGGATGTTCTAGGTACGTACCCTTTTTGTCACACAGTACAAGGACTTAATTGGGGTATCCAGGGGATGTCCCGCAGTGGTTGTCCGGTGGACATCCAGCCCGGTACATCCATAGGTTATCCTTTTCGTGTCCTTGGAATATCTGCGATATCTATTCACATCAGAGTCATTGACTTTCATCAAAATATTGAGTCGATTTTTTATGAAAATGTTTGGTTTATTCCGGTAAACTAATAATTGTAATGAAAATAAAGAAAATTGTCTCAGAACTTCTCAAGAAATGACCATTTTTTGCAAACAGAAATCGTAAATGCATAATGCCCCTCATTTTTAAATATCCACGATTTATTCAGGTTTCTGCAGTTTAGTCCTGTTTAAAAATCTGTTTGGCACATAAATCTTCAGAAGGCATATCATTCAATGGAGTAAGGTACGTGCCTGATAAGCTAAAGGTCCCGGGTTCAAACCCTACTCGACCTACATTTTTTTTTCTTTTGTCGAAGGGATGTCCCTGGAATATCCTTGCGACCTCCTAGGGATATCCTTTTTTCGTTCTTGGTTGATATCCCAGGGACGTACCAGACGGAAATCCCTTGGATGCTTTTTTGTCAGCCAACTGATGTCCCTGGGACGTTCCTAGTATGTACTCTGTCGGGACAAAGGATATCTCTGGGATGTCCTTGTATAAAATTAGGGACGTCTCTGGGAAGTCCCTAGGATGTATACTTGTGTTGTTAGGGCGACAAACGACGGCTTGGCAGCCCTATCGCCGACAAACGCACCGAGTCGGCTGCCCCACAAAAGTCAAAGGAAATTATTGGCACTCCAAGTTTCGGCCATACATAGGTCGGATCATATATACCAGTATAAAATACTTCGGATTGATAGCAGTATAGAATTGTCACGCAATGTTCCGCGTTTTTCATGAATTTCATGTGATAAATATCAGTGATTTCAATAATAAAAATTTCAAAAATTGTACATAGCTCTGACAAGAAAATGATTTGTGACAGTGAATAATATAGTAATTCGACATAGTGAAATATGAAATTCCACTCAAACAGACCCATTCAGATTCAGTTCTAGGGTAAAATATACACACAAGGTGACAACACTGGTCCGGGTTCGTGAATTTCAATCAAATTTATGAGCAGCTTATATATTGATATCCGCTGACCAGTTTATTCCACAATCGCCAAAAATGGAAGCATTTATTGTTGAGACATTAAATTTTGTGATTCACTGCAATTCGATTTCTATAAACTTTTTTCATTATCTCACGTCCGTGATGCGCTCGTTAAAAGCACATCCTGGTCAACTATTACTAACAAATTCGAATTTACCGCCATATTAATGGTTAAAATCGTACTGATTGATCGTGGATTCGATACAAGCGTTCTGGAATATGGATTGTTTAATTGTTCCAAGGTTGGTAGAACTACCAACCTTGAATTGTTCCAAGTCGCACGCCATCTGCATTCCAATAGATTCTCTTCGTAAGTGGCGCACCTGTCAGTCAAATTACGAAGTATTGCTCCGACATCGTTCGACACTATCGCCGCCACTATGTGAGATTTTGAACTATGGTACGCCATCTAGTTGTGAGATTTTTTTGGACCTCGTTTTGCCCCATAAGGTTGGGCATCTTCCCAGCGTAAGCGTAATATATCAATCAACGCTGGCGTAATTTATCAATCAACGCTAACAGGTACGCACTGATGATAACGATAAAGATGCACTTATCATGCGATGAGTTTTTTTGAATTTTTTTGGTACTTACGTATTTTCGTCTGAAAAACACGAATTTCGCAATGAAAACTCGAACAAACCGCTATCTATTGAGATATTTAACGAAAAAGTGCGAAACTTCATCATTTCCTGCCACCCATCTTGGATATCTATTTACAACTATGTGTCCTTCTTTTTCCATCATTGCACACTTTATATACTCACATTGTACTTCAACAACACATTGTATTTCCTAGAATGAACAAGAAGTATGTTTTATCTACTCCTATTAAATTATACAGGGTGTTTCATTGGGAAAGGTAAATAATTCAACTGTGGATAGGGGTCACTGAGGTGATTTCAAAAAACCCATGGTTGATGGGTCTTCGACTTCTTATAACCGAGATACAGGATGTTTCATCAATTTTGTCCATATCTTCATTGTCTCATAACTTTCCAACCAACCTGTATATATTCTCAAAAATTGGTACACTTGCTCAATCTACCCTGTAGAATTGATTGAGGCAACAACGAAAGACGAAAACCAGGTCCGGCTTCACTTAAAATTCACAAATTATTTCTGCCAGAAAACAACACCCTATACATTCGAATTTCTCATTTTTTTTTTGCCATATCTGAAAAGAACATCAAAATTTGTATTCAACGATGTGCTTTTCATTCGTGCACAGACGATTTTAACTATTCATATTATGTGCTCAAAATATTAATTTTGCTCATTTTGGGGTACAAAATTGGAATCAGACGAGATTTATCAATTTTATTACTTCCTATTCAGTATACGTGAGTCTTACATTTAGAAGGAGTATTTCATATCGTTCTTTGTTTCACACTCTGTTGCAGGTCCGTCATCAAAACTATACAGGGCTTTTCACGATAAGCGTTAATTAGATAACGGATAAACCTAAAAATTCGAAGGTATGTATAAATTAACATAATCTACACGTCTGAAATATTTGAAACAATCCGGCGTTGCCGCTTCTACTCGAAAGTAGCAGTAACTTTGATTTTTCAAATGGGACACCCCGGATGCTTCCTGAAGAGCTGATTTAATCGATTCACAAAGTTCGGGGTCTAGTGGGACTAATAACTGAGATATTTAGAGTGAGAAAAATCGAGATGTTTCAACTTTAGAATTATTTTGCGAAAATATTTATTATTGATCAAAACGGCTTTTATGTCCCTATCTTAACTTTGTATCTATTGACATTTAATCAAAACAAATACAGGATGGTTTATAATTCAGATTTCTGCACCACCCTGTATCTGTTTCAATTGAATATCGAATGGAAAGTTGAGATAGGGACATTGAAGCCGTTTTGACCATCCAATAATAAATAGTTTCAACACAAAACATTCCTAAAGTTGAAACATCTCGATTTTCCACTTCCTATATCTCAGTTATCAGTCCCGCTAGACCTTGAATGTTTTGAATCGATGAATTCTGCTGTTCAGCAAGAATACAAGGATGTAATGAAATACAGGGTGTCCTATTTGAAAAATCGAAGTTGCTGCTACTTTCTAGTAGACGCGGCAAGGCCGGATCGTTTCAAATATTTCAGTAGTGAAGATTATGTTAATTTATACATACCATCGAAATTTCAGATTTATCCGTTGCCTGGTTTGCCGAAAACGTCAAATTAACGCTCATCGTGAAAAGCCCTGTATAGTTTTGATGACGGACCTGCAACTAAGTCTGGAACAAAGAACGATATGAAATACTGCTTCTAAATGTAATACTCACGTATACTGAATAAGAAGTAATAAAATTAATAAATCTCGTTTGATTCCAATTTTGTACCCCAAAATGAGCAAAAATAATATTTTGAGCACATAATATGAATAGTTAAGATCGTCTGTGCACGAATAAAAAAAACATCGTTGAATAGAAATTTTGATGTTCTTTTCAGATATGGCAAAAAAAATGAGAAATTCGAATGTATAGGGTGTTGTTTTCTGGCAGAAAGAATTTGTGAATTTTAACTGAAGCCGGTCCTGGATTTTATCTTTTGTTGTTACCTCAATCAATTCCACAGGGTAGATTGAGCAAGTGTACTTATTTTTAAAAATATATACAGATTGGTTGAGAAGTTATGAGACAATGAAGATATGGACAAAATTGATGAAACATCCTGTATCTCGGTTATAAGAAGTCGAAGACCCATTAACCATGGGTTTTTTCAAATCACCCCAGTGACCCCTATCCACAGTTGAATTATTTACCTTTCCCAATGAAACACCCTGTATATCAATGATTCAACTGCCTTTGTACAATTAATAGTATCTATAAACAAACAGCGTGAGTTATAATAACTCTCGCTACTATAACTCACTATAATACTTACATCGAGAAAGGCTCTTGGAATTATTTACGAACCGAAAATCAAGATGGCTCAGTACTTTTGTACAAGCCAGTTGGCCGAAAGGGAACAGTCCATTATTGTTATTGAGGGAAGTGATGTCAATTGAATAATTTTTACGTTTTCAAACTAGGCTGATACAATTATTGTGATTTTTTTGATGAATTCAGATAGTGAAGATGGAATATCATTTGAATTTCCATATGGAAAATATCACTCACAAAGAATGGCATTGATAAATGTTGAGCAATGGGGAAAGACATTGCCACATTTCTGAAATTACCAGACTGTAATTTATATACAGGGCATTGTTTTCGCCGCTCGTCGGCAACTTTATTAATAGGTGCCGTACGGCAATGAAACGCCATGGCGGTTGGCGATCAACTACTGTGGCTGAGGGGTACGTTGATGATTCCGAAAAGAATAAGACAGATACTGCAAATAAAATATACAGTTCTATTACAGCTCAATCAGTTACTACATCATCAACATATATGCAACAAACACAAAAAGAAACAATAAACTTCCATAATTCAGTTCCAACATATTCAGTTGACTGGTTGTTCAAACTTCACAGTTATTTTCAATAAACAATATGCGAGTGATTGAATCTAAAATTTGTATTAAGTATATCAAGATTTGTCAATAAAGTTTTTTCTCTGTACTTGTAACTTAGGATTTATTGTAATAGTCGTAGATAAAGTATAGTATTCAACTTGCGGTAATGGCCATAACTCACTTGATGAATTACAGCACTCGCCTGTGGCTCGTGCTACAAACTTCATCTGCGTGAGTTATGACCTACATTACCGCTCGTTTAATAATATACTATTATTTGTGATTTTTTTCATATTTTAGTAAAGTAAACAATCACACCAGCGGCGATTCAATTATCAAATCTAACATATCACAGAACTCAAAATGCAAATACGAGATGTCAAATGAAGGTCAAATGTCAAAAAAATTTGCAAGAAACTCGAGAAACCAAATTATTGTTACTCACTAAATATGAAAGTTCATAAATAAACCATACTTCTTGTTGATTCTAGGAAATGAAATGTGTTATTGAGGTACAACGTACAGGGCGTATCTAAATACCACAATATCAATGTTTTTTAGGAATATTCGTGAAAGAAATTGACACGAGGAACACTACCGGAAGCCTAGTCAGCGCCACAGAGTCCCTACCGGTACACAAGAAGCTCGTCAACCAACTATTTTCCAAAATAAGCGAAAAACTCCAGCCAATCCTCAGCATCCACAACATCACCACCGACACGAATATCAACTTTATCCTTCCTCTGAGTGGAAGATTCAACACCTTCAGACGTTTCATGAAAACCTACGAAGAGGTCTGCCTAAAAGAAATGGAAGCTACCAAATTGTACGTTATCTTGTACAAAGAAGAGAATTCCCTCGAGGATTTCCAGAAAACCCTGGATCTAGTAGAAGATCTGAGACAAAAATACCCTTCCAGTGTGTTGAGGATCATTTGGACTGAAGAAAAGTTTGCCAGAGGCAAAGCCTTGCAACTAGGAGTAGATGAAGTAGAAGAAGATGGTCTGATGCTCTTCATAGACGTCGACATAGTTTTCGACAAGCACAGCCTTCAAAGGATGAGAAGAAACACAGTTCTGAACAAGAAAATCTATTTCCCCATAGTGTACAGTCTTTACAATCCCAAATTCCTCAATGAAACGCTCAGCGAAAGAGTAAATCCAGTTACCCCTGACGTCATCAACGAAGACAACGGTTTCTGGAGACAATTCGGTTTCGGGATAGTGAGCATATACAGGAGTGACTTTAAAAATTTAGGCGGCTTCGATTTGATGATAACAGGTTGGGGTTACGAGGATGTGACTTTGTTTGACAATGTGGTGAGGTCTGGTTTGAAAATTGTGAGGACGCCTGATCCGGGTTTGGTACACGTGTTTCACCAAGTCAAGTGCGACGATAGCTTGGATGCCGAACAGAAAAATATGTGCCTAGGGACCAAGGCTAGCACCTTAGGGTCGCTTAGGAATTTGCAGAATATTTTTTTGAAATACAAGGACTTGTTTAGGTAACAGTGACTAAACTTCTCAATTTATCTGTCTGTGATTCCATGTTATTTATAATGAGAATGGTATAAGACTATTTGATTATTGTGTGATGTCATAGTTTTTAAAATGTGTGTAATGTGAATTTATTCAAGATGCCAAATTTCTTCTTCCATTTTAACTGGAGTTCCTCAGTGGATTTGACGTTTTTGTATATTTAGAGTGCAAACACTCTGATTCCTAATGAGAGTTAGTCATCATAGCCGCAAAATGAAAATGATATCAATTTAAAAAAAGAATTAATTGGAAGAGTTGTATATCAGCCAAAATAACCAAACATTATCTCTAGAGTCTAGATATACAAGAATGTCAAACCCATTAAGGAACTATGATTTTACATACATGTCAGATTGTCACTATCTGATTTTCTTAGGGAAAAATCTAATTACTACTACTGCCCAGATGAGTCTGTTGTGTGTACCTCACGAATGTCATTTATTATGCTTTGAGGATATTACCAAATTGTTTTCAGAAATTTGAAACCATCTTCCTGAGTCAGTATAGGAAAGTGGTTAGATAGTAAGTAGTTCCATTTTTAAAATACTTCTGTGAAATATACTCATAGCTCTTACTGTCCTATACTACTCAAGGAATAAAATCAATTATTGGTTTTGGAAAGAAACGCTTTGTACTCTATAGGGAAAGCTCAATAACTTCTATTATTCCTCATTACAGGGTATTCAATATGCATTGCCAATCTATAAATGTTCCTTGTTATTCTTGCCATTGATTTCCAGATTGATCTGAAGAAATCTCATGGCCAGTCAAATTATATTTTAGAAGAGAATAACAGCCATGAAACATGACAAATGTTAATATAACATCATAAAAAGTAAAGTTTTATGAAAAGAAATAATGTGTTATTTCAAAGTGAAACCTTATAAGAAAATGTTTGTCATGTTCGAATAATACGTAATGAGAAAACAAATAATGACGTGAGAATTATAAAAATCAAATCGCGATGCTTAAATTTCATCATAACTTTTTCACCTTTAGCACTTGAACAAATATAGGTACATATCGTATTTTATTCTAGGGATTAGGAACAATTATTATGAATCAGAATGCTTATCTAATCTTCAATTATCTCAATTGAAGTGTGTTATCACATAGTACTATTCTTGGAATAACGTCACACATTTTTTTTTCCAAAGTGAATAAACTGGATCGCCCAATATTCTGTAAATTCATTATAAAAAAAAATCGAACTTAGGGCCCAATGGTGCACTTCCCAATACAGGTAGTTATTTAAACAAAATTAATAGCTATTTATATATAAAGGGGGAAAAGGTATCCATTTCCCCCCGCGTGTGAGAGGAAATGAACCTTTGTTTTCACGATATACAGGGTGAGTCAGTTTTTTGTAGCAGGGCTTCAACAGCTTGAAGATATTTTTTCAAGATGAAAATCTTATATAAACATATAAGTGTGGGAGCTTCGTTTCCGATATACAGGGTTTTGAAATTTGCACGACCCCAAAAGTGTAACATCCTGTAGATATTGAAGAACGCTCGATAGCCCCAAATATTAAGTTTCCGAAGTGTACCAGGTGTACCAAATTTCAATTCATATTTTGAAAATGTAGTAGAAAACTTGAAAAGCACAAGAAAAATCTCAAACTTTGAAACCCTGTATATCAGAAACGAAGCTTCCACGCATATATGATTGTGTACATGAGATTTTCATCTTAGAAAAATGTGTTTTTCAAGCTGTTGAAATCCTGCTACAAAATACGTACTCGAAAAATAAAGTTCATTACAAGTACATTATTTTTGGGATTTATCTTGAAACCCATACAGTTTTCGGAAGGAAGCGAAAAGTATCCAAATTGAAGAGAGGATCTGAATTGATGTTCCATAGAAAACAAAGGCAGTACGCAAAAAAGCTCGAGAGGGTTAACTCGTGTACGACCCTTAAAAGTGTATCATACTGTACTCCTGTAGGTATTCAAAAACGCTCTATAGCCCCAAATATTGCGTTTGCAAAGTGTGATAGGTGTACCAAATTTCAATCCATTATTCTGAAAAATGTAGAAGGAAATTCGAAAAACACAAAAAAAATTGCAAACTTTGAAACCCTGTACATCGGAAACGAAGCTCCCTTGCATTTATGTTTATATAAGATTTTCGTCTTGGAAAAATTTCTCCTTTAGCTGTTAAAGTCCTGCTACAAAAAACTGACTCACCCTGTATATATGATTTTATCAACGAACGCATTCTTTCAAAGCATCATTCTTGAAATTGTGATTCAGGCGGTCTATCATCTGGATCCAAATCATTATGCGTATGCCATGGACAATTCGGCATTTGAACGAAAGGCAATTTGACACTTATGTCATCATGAATTAATTGATTTGTATATTGTGTAACTGCATTTGAAAGTTTTGATTAGAAGTACGTTCAGAATATGAAGAAGCGTATCATATCATTTGATTTCAAAAACGATATTATTGTTACTTCTTTTATAATAGTGATGAAGACAGACACTAATTACTTGCAATGCACAGATTCAATGGTTATATCGGCACCAAAGGATGCATGCTGAAGCCAATTTATTTTACCTCTCACGGAAGTTGATATTTTTTTCCTCCCGTGGGAAAAAATTGACAACTTTGTTTCCTCAAATGAGGAAGCAAACGCTTATTTTCGATTCAGATTGTAGATAAAATATATCTATGGAAAATATCAATTCTCTGGCAATTATTCCGCAGGGTTATACCCACCATTCGCGATTTCATTCACTTAGCCGTGTTTGGCGTTTCCGATTATTGGCGTATACTTTTCAATGATTTATAAATGAATAGCGGTGTCTATCTATCTGGCCGTGGATTTACCATGTCTCCAGCCTATCGGAGTTCGTCTCGGGGCTGGTCGAACGCGCAGGATCCTCATTCTTACCATGGTAGTGGAAGGTGTAAAATACCTCGAACGGATACCCATCAAATGGGGCCAGAGGATTCTGGCCGACATGGGGAGCTGTGGCTTGTCCCGGCGAAAGGACCATGTGCGTACCTTGTGCTCTGGACCAACAGGAGGTGATTCCAGGACAGCCGTGGGACCGTCCTAGTGCCTCCGGTAGGACTGGCCAAAAACCGAGTCCCATCTTCTTGAACGAGGTAGAGATTCCGGCAGGGGTTTTCGAACCGTTACTCATCAAAGTTTATGGGAGGAATCCCATTAACATGAGTAGTAATTACGTAAGGGTAGCAGACGAATACAACTCACTTGAAAACTGAGCAGCAATGGACGAAAGTCCCTGTGACGGCGACCCATCAAACGTTACGGGAGAATCTTGTTAACATGCGTGTTGTTGTTCATAATGATTTTATTTTTATAACATTCTGTAGTTATCTTGGAAACGGAATCAATATGTATTTGTCAGATAATTAAATAATTTTGAAAAGTCATACAGTCCATTAAAATATCAAGAAAAGCTATATTTCTGACCGACTGAATTGACATTGGTCCTTCAAGCCTCTAGACAAGTCCTGTGGAGTGAAATATCGAAGAAACTACGTGAAAATCCACAAATTATGGAAAATCAATCATCTGACAGATTATGTCGAAAAACAGCAGGTACCAATAGACATCTTGATGAAGAATTTGAATGGCCCTCGAATTTTGGCAGAAGGACTCATATTCTACCAAGGGTTGCAGAGGAAAGTGAAGAAATTCATCATTCTGTAGTCAATGATCTTGGGGTTATTGATGAAATGACAGTCCGACCAGATCATTCATCAAATCGACAGACTCCAGTTCAGGATAATGCAGAATTTTCTTCAAAGCATTCAGATAGGTCTTCTAAATCAAGATACTCTTCTGCCAGTGCAGAATTACAGAAGAAAAAGTTGGCGTTTGAAGCAGAAAAAGCAAAACAAGCTATTGAAACGGAAATGATGAAAAACAAGCTGAAATTAATCGAAATGGAGAGACAAGTAAGAGAAGCTGAAATTAATGAAAATGAGGAAAGGCGATCTCTAAAATCAAGTTCAACTAAACATAGCATTCAATACTTGATACGGAAGGACCCTTTGTATCCAGAAGTTGATGTGATAGACAATGAACAAGGTCCGTCTACACATTATAATGCCAAGTCATTCGTGGCGGATTGGATAGAAACTATTCCTCAATATTCCAATGGCAGTATACCTGAAAATATCGGAACTATTCCGAAAAAACCTGAAGAAGATAAGTCAGACATCAAAATACTGTGCGAATCCCTTGGAAATGTGTTGAAAACAGCAGTTTCTCCCAGACAAGAAAAAATGTGTTCGCGTCACGTAGCCGAAAAAGATTTCCCTATGTTCGATGGGAAACCAGAAGAATGGATGACTTTCTTATATCAATTCAAGAAAATTTCGTCGTATTGTGATTTTTCTCCAGAAGAATGCATGATTAAATTGCATAAGTGCCTGAGGGGAGATGCGAAGTTTGCAGTGGCTGGCATGATGATGTCTCCTAACAACCTTGACTTAGTACTCAAGACACTCGAAATGAGATTTGGCAGACCAGACCAAATCATTGACGTTGTATTGTCTCGAGTAAGAGGACTGACTTTCATCAAAGAACATGACCTGGAGGGAATAATTCAGTTTTCCAATCATGTTTCCTGCCTGGTGTCGACAATAGAATATCACGCTCATCTCCAGAATCCTCAAGCACTGAAAGAACTCTGCCAAAAGTTACCGGACACTCTGAAACTTCGATGGGGAGAAGTGGTGATGCAGAAGAGAGGAAATGTCAACCTACAAGATTTCTCGGTTTGGCTTTCAGAAATTGCCTCTGCATTATGCTTTGTCAGCACTCCCAACTCTAAAGTATCAAGAAGTAGTAACTTTCCTCCTAGAAGATTCGAAAAATCATTCACGACGTCGACCATCCCCATGCAAACTGCGTGCATATACTGTTCCAAGGAAGGCCACAATATAGAAAATTGTAAGAAATTGCAATCCGACGATGTCAATGATAGATGGAGCGAAATTACCAGGAAAAAGTTATGTTTTTCTTGTCTTCACCGGAATCACCAGACGAAGAAATGCAGAAACCGCCAAGTTTGCGGTGTGAATGGATGTAAACTGCCACATCATAAATTTTTGCACAAAGAAACTCCGAAACCAGAAACTGACGGAGATTCAGAAAATACTTCATCTCCAAATGGTATAGAAAACGAGAATGTACTGACATTAGGTAATGGTGCCAAGAATGT